TAAGTCTTCCTCCTAGTTATGGCTAGTCACTTGCTCAATTTGACCTCAGGAAGCACTAAGATCATTTATGCTACGGCAAATAGGTTGACAAGGGGTGTGATTATGTGTTTGGAAGCAAGGTATATTCGAAATGACCTACAATACATGAGCGCCAGCACTGGCTTACCAGTATGAGTTCAGATGTAGGACCACGTGTGACCCATCGCTCCCAATGAACGTCCCTCTTTCCGTTCTCCTCACTCATCTCGAAAGTTCTTCGCCTCGCCTGTTCAACCCCTTCCACTTTAGAATTTTCAGCCAATACACTCTTCAGCTCCTTCACTTCACCACTCGCCCCATTATATCTTTCGCCAATCAGGGAATTGAATGACTTCTTGACTCTTATCTTCGGCCTCCAGCTCCGCATGAGCAATTCTTTAGGGTGATGACTCTCCGACCAGTTGTTCGGCGCATCTGAGTTCGCTGAAACAGATGCCTTCCGGACACGTGCAAGCAACTGTGAGTCGCTCGGAACAGGGTTCTGCTCGAACAACGCCTGTGACCACAGTCCACTCTTTTCAGATGAACCGCGCTGATCAGACGCTTTCGACCTTGCCTGTTGCCGTGGACGGCGACGCAGGTACACTGCGAACTGACGGTATGGCAACAGGGCATGGCCGGCTTCAACGTCGACTGAAGCAGGACCTACGTGTCTGGTGGCGCGGTGCAGTCGGCTGGTTGTCTGCAGCAGGCCCGTGGGTAGGGCCCAACTGACGCGAAGTCGATTTCGTCGAGGGGTCCTCGGCGTTGCCGAAGCAGATACCAGATTTGGCGAGAGACCGACACCTTTCGGAGTGTTTGAGTCGGAATCACCGCTCGTGTCATAGGCTGGAGCCACCAGAGACTGGCCAGATTGGGCCGTTGGGACAGTGTCGAATTTACTCGGCGAAGTGTCATGGGACAAGGATTCTGGCTGCAAGAGGAGGGCACTGATCTGACTTGGCGGGGGCAGAGCTGAAGAGGCAGTAATAAGCAGAATTACAACACATTCTAAAGTTAATTAATTTTGACAATTTTGACTGTTAAATGCAGCATACTATCTTTTGCTAGGCATCCTAGTCAGTGTTTCTTTGAGGCATTCTGATGTCCGCAGGTTAGAAAAGTAGTAAAGTAAAGTTTGAAATCGGACAGAGTTTAGTGGCTAGGGCATCCAATGGCCTTGTCAAAATGACGACAAGTAAGAAAAAAGAAATTCTTAAAAAATGCTAGGTCTAAAACGACACATCAGGCAAATTAAATAAACTTAAATATCCAGACATGACAAACCCACGGATTAATTCCGCTCAGTTGTGCTAAAAAATAGCCGGCAAGTTAGCCGGCTAGACCGCCTGAAGTTTTAATTCGACGAAATTCGAGAATTGTTCGAATTTTGTAGTTAGTTAAAAACATTCATAGTAGGGGCTTCAGATAAAGCCGTTAAAGAAGCATTTTTGAAGCACAATAGAATGTACGTCTTCCGATCTAGAAGTATCCTTGTAATTTACAAACGGCCGTTTTTAAAAAATCTACAAAATGCTTAGGGCTGTTATGATGCTGATATGAACGTTTCTTATTTTCAACCGACAGAGTTTCAATGCTTCAAACATTTTCTCTAGAGCTGTCAGAAAATGAGGCAGTATCTTGTGTAAACTAACCTAGGGCGCTATTCATGTCTTTTTACAACGTCATAATCCGAATGGATATGAGCCATAATGGAGCAGTTGTTAAAGTCAAAGGTTAGAGCAATTGAAAACAAGAAAAAAGGCAACGCAATACAGCGATCTTTACTACTTATTAACCTATAAACCCTCCCAGAGAAACAGTAGAAAAGCACCAGATATCTGAAAGGAGATGGTAGCATCAAACACTCCTTCCAACTTGCAAAGGAAGAAAGAGAACGTCGCCTCGTAAAGAATTATCATAGACCATCTACCGTTATGTGCATAGCCCATAGGAGAGGACATCAGCACAACAATTAGGCAGTATCGAAATTTCATTGTATGCTGCAAGCAGATCTCTATTGAAGAAAATTCCAGCACATCCAGTTGCCTGGACAGAAGACATACTGCAAAATAAGATCGTTTGGATTTCTCAAAATAAGCCTAACTACACTCAGGAGGGAATAGCATCAGGGTTGATTTGAGGACGTCAGAAGCCTTGGCGATAATATTAAGGCATATCAACCAGAGAGTGAGAATACGATATGTATTCACCATATTTCGCTTAAGGTGGTAGCTTAATTTTTCCAAAATGATATGAGTAGAGCTGAAATTTCCATTCAATTTCACAGAGCCTTGCTTTTCCAAAAGGTGTTCTCATCCAGGATGAAGTGGACTGCAGT